AATTACAAAGGAGAAATAAAAAGTGAAAAAAGAGCCCATGATAAATAAAAGGCGATGAAGAGGAAGAAGGTCAGATGAGCCATAGTCCGGGAGGTGAGGGGAGAGCGTGGAGCCCCTGCCCCTCTCCTCGCCTGACAGACGGACACAAGGGCGAGCCCAGGTCCCTGACCGACCGCGAACATCTCGAGGAGATTTCAAAAGCACCAATATAATTTCCAAAGCAATTTTCCTGCCGCCGAGCCAACAGCTCTTCCTGCCCTCTCCAGATCGGGAAACGGGATTTTTATTTTTTTTTTTTTTAAACCATCTCGTTTCTCTACGTTCTGCTCAGGGAATGAAAGAAACGAAAGAGAGATGGAGAGGGGAAAAAAATGCTGGAGGGCAATGTTTTCAGGTCGGACAGTGGGGCACAGGGAGATTGGACGTTAATATTAAATCCTAAATTCACCGTGAAAACGGGAGTTTCTGCGCAATCACAAGGAAAGGCCAGGGCAGTCCTGGAGGAAGGATCAAACTATTGGAAAATATGTTCTTGATGCCTTAAGGTGGTTTTTATAATCCAGGATGATTTATTTTTGTTCGGGGCTGCGAGAAACTAGAAAGAGAAAACAAAAAAACTACCGGAGAAAGGAATAAGATCTTGACCTTTCCTAATTCTCCAGATCAGCAGTAATGGAAAGCAGAAGGTGCCAGGGGAAGAAGCAGGGGGTGAGGGCCTAGCGGGCGGCGCAGCGGGGCCGGGGTCCCGCACCCACCGCCCGCAGTGGGCGAGGGAAGGGCCGCTCGTTTCCCTCCTCGGGATCCGCACCACTTAACACGGGCTTAGTTAAGCGAAAGCAGAGAAAGAAATTACACACACACAGCCCTCCCGCTGTGGTCCCGACGGGGATATTCCGGGGCAGGATCGTTTCATCCCGCCCCGACAAACCCGCGAAGAATCCCCCGTTTTCCGCCTCTCCCGGGCTGCGCACACACGGAAACCGGCCGCGCAGTAACTACGCAGAGAGCGTTGCGGTTTTGCCACAAGCCTTTCATCTGACATACAGAGAGCAGAGGAGTGGGGGCACATTAGGGGAAAAAAAAATAATTCAAAAAAAATTTAAATAATAAAATCTCCATGAATGCGTGAGCAAAGCCAAAGCAAGGCAGGGGAATCCGCAACTCCCCTGTCCTACTCGGAAACAGCCGCCGATCCGAAAGGGAGAAGTGGGGAAAAAAAAAACCCCAAACGTGCAGAAAAGGATCTGGCTCCTGGAGGGCTTTGACCGGGGTTTAGCGCTGACAAAACCAACTCCCGAAAGCAGCCCCGAGAACCTGGGCTACGGAGCCTACGCACGAGAGAGGAGGAGAAGGGAAATGCTAAGTCTCCTTTTTGGCCAGGGACTCCCAAGCAGCGACTGCAACAGCTAATTATTTTCCTTTCAGTGCTCGGTTATTGCTGGTGTCCTCCTCGCCTCCCCTCCAATAAATAAATAAAACCCTCCTTTAGGCAGCGAGGCGTGAAAAATGATCCTCGCTGAACGCTTAAAAATAACGTCCCGTGAAGATCGGGGCCGCGGAGCCAGCCAGCCCCGTAATTAGGGGCCATTATCCGTCCCGCCTAGCCGAGGCAAAATTCCTCGTGAAACCTCCGAACCGAGCCCGGCCAGGGCATTCGGACCCAGGGGAGACCCCCGGGTCCTTCCTGGCCGCCCCCCATTCCAGAGCCGCTTCCCGGGGGCTCCGAGCCCCGCAGACACTTGCGGGCGGCGTGAGACCGATCGGGGCACGGAACGAGCTGCGGTGCTTCAGAGAAATTCAGGGAAATAGGGAAAATTCTAATGTTAGAGATGCTTGGGGTTCTTCCCCCCAAAATAAAACCTCGACGGCGCTTGCACTCGCAGCCCCCGCAGGTCCGAGCCGACCCTTCCTGCGTGGGTACCACGACTCCCGGTTAAGGGGGGAAATCCTCCGCTCCCCAAGTCAGTTCAGCTTCAATCCTCCCCGGCTGCCGCGGCTTAAAAACCCACAATGACTCCGCAAGGCAAAAGGAGACGAACAGAGCCGGAGAAAGGTGTTCCAGTCCCAGAGACCCCCCCGATCCCCCTCTCCTGAGCGTGTGGGGGCAGGGGGCTCTCCAGGGAAACACCGCTTCCCTGCAGAGGACCCCCCTCCATCCCTTCAAGCTCCGAGACCACCAACTAGGAGAACCCATTGCACCAGCGGGACTGCAGGGGCCACACGCCTCCTTCATCCCTACGGACATCCACTGCCATTTCTTATCCGCTCCTGGCACCCTCGGCTCCTTTTCCTCCTGCACTTCACAAACAAGTCAAAAATTATTAAAAATCGCTACTTTATGTTAAAATAACCAGCCCCCCTTCTGCCAGGCACACAACCACCACCCAGCCTCGCTGCACATCGCTTTCTTCCCTCGGATCCCGTCTCCTCAAAGCAGGCTCGGTTATTAAAAGAGGCTGAACAAAGATAGCCCCGAGAGCAGCTATCAGCGCATTTTAACTTCATCAAAGACTTCGGGGGAGAGGGAGAGGAGGGGTCTGGCACCTTCTAGTAATGAGCTTGTCAGGAACACCCCTGCCAGAGCAATTGAACAATTTGCACACAAGCAAAAGAAAAGGAGAGTGGAGGGAGGGAGGAAGGGGAAATGCTACAAAAGCCCCTTCAATTTCCAACCATGTGCTTGGCAATCTGGAAAATAGATTCATTGGCCTCCTCTTTTCTCCCATGTCGAGTCTTGTAGCCCCTTTTGTAGGAGCTGGACATGAAAGGGAGACAACCAAGTGCCGGACACGAAGATCGCTTTTCAAAAGCAAATGTGTGTGAAGGCGAGATGTGAGACCGCTCGCTGCGGGGAGGCGGCACGTTCAGGAACAACATCAACAAACTGCGCGGAGGTTCGAGGTGGCACAGACAGGGGCAGAGGAGGGGGGATAAAAACGGGATGGGTGGGGGAAGAGAAAAGAAAAGCCGATCCCCCCTGCTCCCCGGCGCACACCGCCCGGCTCCTGCTCCTGCCGGAGCCCCGGAGGGCCCCGCACAAAGCCCCGCTGCCCGGGGCCGCTCCGGCCCCGCTCCCTGCCTCGTACGGCTCAGCTGGATTTTTCCTTTTTCTCCTTCTCCTTCAGCTCGCTGCCCGGTCAGAAAGGCCTCGATTCTTTCGATCATGGTCCCTGCCAACAAACAAACCAAAGATCCACGTTTGGTCCCTGAAAGAAATAAATTGAAAGGGGGGGAGAGAAGTTTGGAAGAGAAGGGAGCGCTTTAATATGTTTATTTACTTTGTAAGTTGTTGCAAAATTTAGGTAGAGATCAAGTTTCATTCGGTCATTCAGATACTGCAGGCCCAAGGGG